TAATTGAGCACTGTCGAAACCTAGTATGGTCAGCTGGTAAACAGTATGGTAGTGCATATTGTGAGTGTTTGGTGTTATACATTATGGCATAGACATGGTCATTGACTGGCAGAACTGATGTACATTCCTATCTAACTTTTGGACATCTGCCACCAGCTAAATATTTGGGCTTCCACTGCATCTTACGGTTCAGCAGCAACACATCCATGTTTCTTTCATGGAGTGTAAAAGCAGTGGAAAGCATTTTATTGATGATCAAAGATGAGTATCCCATTGCAGCCAATCAGTTTTCATTAGTCATTTGCTTTGTAGGTACATGGCTGTCAAAATTGAGAGTTAAGCCTTGTGATGCATACAGGGAATGTGTGTCTTTCATGTCTATGTTAATCTTGCATTGTTGTAGTGCACCAGTGTGCATCAGGGCCCTTTTGTTGGTAATATGGTGATCTGAGAGACCATGCTTTTCAAAAAGGAGAGCTAACGCCAAACACATTTGCAGGCTACTTGCTGTGCCATGCATAAAAAAACAAAACCTGCTATTAAAACAGAATGATACCCTCCCTTATCCTTAGCCATTCAAACTATTAAAGAATTTGGTAAATATGTGGGCCTCAAAGCTAACTGTCAAAAATGTTTCTATGCCAGTCCCCTCTCACCTCAGTGGCCTCTCACAATTGTGCCTTCCTTTAAATACTTGGGGGTTGTTATTACAAAGGACCCTTTTCAGAGAACATTGGTCCTCTAAAGCAAACTATTAAGGGTCAATTGCAGTTGTGATCTAAGCGTCCCCTGTCGGCCACTGGCAGAATCATCTTATTTAAAATGATCCTTTTGCCGAAATGTATCTACTGGTGAAACTCGAATAATTAGAATATTGTGCAAAGTTCATTTATTTCACTAATGCAACTTAAAAGGTGAAATTAATATATGAGATACTCATTACATGCAAAGCAAGATAGTTCAAGCCGTGATTTGTCATCATTGTGATGATTATGGCTTACAGCTCATGAAAACCTCAAACTTTATGGAGGGTGTCAATTATGGTTTTCTGCACAACTGTCAGGTCAGCAGTCTTTCCCATGATTGTGATTCCTACTGAACCAGACTGAGAGACCATTTAAAGGCTCAGGAACCCTTTGCAGGTGTTATGGCTTAATTAGCTGATTAGAGTGGGACACTTTGAGCCTAGAATATTGCACCTTTTCACAATATTCTAATTTTCTGAGATTGTGGATTTGGGGTTTTCATGAGCTGTAAGCCATAATCATCACAATTATGACAAATCACGGCTTGAATTATCTTGCTTTGCATGTAATGAGTCTATCTCATATATTCGTTTCACCTTTTAAGTTGCATTAGTGAAATAAATGAACTTTTGCACGATATTCTAATTATTCGAGTTTCACCAGTATATACCTACAAATATGCCTGTAATGGTACCAAAATCCTTTTTCAAGGAACTTAAAGGAGAACTGTGGGGTAGGTGTTTTTCCCCACAGATCTCCTAAGGGTCATGGGAAGACATATACTAGAGTCCTCCCGTGACCCAAAGCTCAGTATAACAGTAGAAAGGTATCATGGCACACTCACAAGCCAGCATGTAAAAAAACTTGTCTCACCACTAAGGTTAATAACAGAGGTTTGGATACACGTCTTCTGGTGACAAATTGACAAATTGTTGAGTGCTTTTTTCATTTGTTTTGCTTCCCAAAGCTCAGTATATCGCGAGCTACAGCTCGCGGTATACTGAGACCGCTGCAGCTGGAACGGATCCCGACAATATTGTTGAGATCCACCCAGCTGCGTGAGTGACAGCTGGCTCTGCCTATCTAGAGGCAGAGCCAGCTGTTCCCGCCCCCACTCCCCATCCGCTCCTCCAGTCAGCGTTGGAGGATCGGAGCAGGGAGGTGGGGAATCCCTGCAGGGAGCCATGAGCGACAGGCATGGCTCTCTGCAGGGAGATGATTGAGAAGTGCGTGAGCGAAGGTATGTGTTCGCTCACTTCCCGATCTATTGAGCCGACGTGCGACAGTTTCATTGTCACATGTCGGCTTGAACCATGAGGTTAAGTAAAAATCACTCGCCTCATAGTTCTCCTTTTAACTATTCTCATCCTTTATATGATGTGCCACTAGACCTGAACTGAAACAGATCACATTACAAAGGCACTAAGAGGAAGCTGGTATGGACCTGCTGAATATGGTTTTTATATTTGGCAGGACAACTTGAACAGCTAAACACATGGGTCCACCCTGTAGTTCCTATAACTTGATGTATAAGCACACTTGATATATTCTTGTAACCATAACATTATTGATATTCCTGGGTACCTCCCAAGTTATTCCCCTTCAAACACCACCTACCCATCGTGAAACAGGCCAAATCAGTGTCTTAATTTCAGGGCCTCCCAGATAACTTATCCTTATGGGACAACCCTATATTAGTATAACATAGTGTGATACCATATACTGCATCATGAAAATCCCATTGTATTGTGACTCTAGCAGACATTTACCAGGAGGGAAGAATTTACTAAATTATGCAGTTACAGTAGAGACATGATTTATCCTAGGGATGTCCCGATGCCACTTTTTCAGGCCCAAGTACAAGTACATCCCCTCATGTACTTGCCAATACCAATTACCGATACTTTTTCTTAAAGGGACAGGTGACTTTAAATGATCCATAGTACAACTACATGTTATGTACTATGGATCATGGTTTAACCTATTCATGTTAGCAGGGGAGAATTGTAACTCTATTGCTGGAGTGTAGTGGAGGTGTGTGCTGTATATATGCACTACATATACATTACACACGTCCAGTACACTATAGCAATAGATTTACAGCCAGCCCCGTCCCAGCTTCCCTTACTCACAGTTTCACTCCGATCCCCGTAGCCTCACGCGTATACGGCGCTGGGCAGGATCGCTGCATCGCGTCTCGGTGCTCAGCTTGTGGGAGGCGCTCACAATTCTGCCCTGCTAACCTGAATAGGTTAAATCATGATCCATAGTACATATACAGCACATACGTCCAGTACACTGCAGTAATAGAGTTACAATTATCCCCTGCTAACATGAATAGGTTAAATCATGATCCATAGTACATAACATGTAGTTGTACTACGGATCATTTAACCCATTCATGTTAGCAGGGGATTATTGTAAATCTATTGCTGCAATGTACGGGACATTTGTGCTGTATATGTACAGTACATATAGATATACAATTCTGCACTGCTAACATGAATGGGTTAAATGATCCGTAGTACAGGGCTACATATCATGTACTACGGATCATTTAACCCATTCATATTAGCAGAGGATAATTGTAAATCTATTGTTCAGTGCATTCTATATGTAGTATATAGTACATGTACATATAGAGTGCCTGCAACAATACATTTACAATGATCCTCTGCTAACATGAATGGGTTAAATGATCCATAGTACAGGGCTACATACAGATCATTTAATCCATTCATGTTAGTATAATTGTAAATGTATTGTCTGCACTGTATTAGCAGTATATACTCTATATGTAGTATATAGAGTATATACTGCTAATACAGTGCAGACAATACATAATTGCTTAATAAATCTCCCCCCCAAATCTGCCCTCACTCACTGTGTGACTGTGCCGGAGAGAGCAGGGACGAGTCAGCGGCAGCGCTGGTCCAGTGGGAGGAGCTCCAGGTGGGGTCCTAATTTAGCTGACTTAGAGGTGCCTGCCAGCTAAATTACAACCCCACCTGGAGCTCCTCTCGCCTGACCAGCGCGCCGCTGACTCATCCCTGCTCCCCTGCTCCTGACTGGCCGCTGCGGGGTTTTTTTTTTTTTTTCTTCTTACTTACCTCGCCGAGCGTCGCGTCACTGCTGCTCCGGTGGGCGGCGCTCCGAGCGGGGTCATCTGGCAGTCTCCGGCCACCTAAATTAGGACCCGGAGACTGCCAGATGACCCCGCTCGGAGCGCCGCCCACCGGAGCAGCAGTGACGCGACGCTCGGCGAGGTATGTAAGAAGAAAAAAACAAACCCTGCAGCGGCCAGTCAGGAGCAGGGGAGCAGGGATGAGTCAGCGGTGCTTCGGCGCTAGGCTTCGGGGCATTTTGACAAGTACAAGTACTTGTCAAAATGCCCTGTATCGGGCCCGATTCCGATGCTAGCATCGGTATCGGGACATCCCTAATTTATCCCATAGTTTCTTCCATAGATTCCTACAACTGTGCTTTGGCTTGAAGGCACAAATCAGGGACCAGGATAATCCTATCTCTAAATACCCACTAATAAGAGTGTTGAAGTTGCAAGGCCCCAACAGGTAGGCAATAGGCAGAGCCTACTATCTATTTTATGTGCTGAGGAATGTAATGATCTGTGCTCCTCTCATATTTTGGTATCACCAGTGATTCATAAGATTAATTCAATTGTGTATTATACAACAAACATATCTGTTCAACTGCACAAAATGGGATGTATTGCCACTGCTAACTGTATACAATGTAATGACACTCGGGCAGATTTGATGTACTTTGTTGTTATCCGATTATATCTGACTTCTGGCAGCAGGTGGCTACTTTGCTCACAACCTCACTGCAGCTCCCTCTTCCCTGTACACCTGACATTTGTTTATTTGGTATACTAGACACAATATTGGTTACTTAATACTATAATATTTTTGTAGGAAACGTTGTTTATGCCTTGCAAAGCCATAGCTATTGATGAGTTTACCCTCCCCTACTGTAGCCCAGTGGAAACGATTGGTTAACCTATCAGACTATCACTTATGAAAACATTTTATATGGGTATAGGAACTGTCCCCCCAAAATCCATTTAACTATGGGACCTATGGTGTAATTCTACTCCTGTGTTAACTTCCAGGTGACCTCCCCAGCCTTAAAGTTATAACTACCTCACTCCAGTATTTGTGAACTTCTTGGCAACGTGCTTTATAATGTGTACATATGTAACAAAAGCACATGGGAGATGTCACTGTTCCAGTTCTTTATTTTACTTGAGGGTTTGAATGTGGTTATCAGTAGAGGAAACAAAGAAAGTAGTTACACAAAACCGGAATCTGGACGTTCACCCGCAGTGGCTCTGTAAAGTGCTGTCTGGATTCTTTCTGCTATGGATTTCAGACAGTAAACCTAGACTAACCTTAATTAACTTACACTTTTTAGCTAGATGTAATATGTGCTAAATAGAATTAGTAGCTCCCCTGATTGTTGCCTGAAACGGCTCTTGAACCAAAGATCGACAAATTTAATATGGAATGCAGGAGCCACAAAGATTTTTTTGATTTTTTTTTTTTAGGAACCTGAGAAAACCTCAGAAGATGGGCATCAGCTGTAATTTTTAAGGAGCGTTGGCTACCTGGCTCTTGAGATTTGTCTAGCCCTGTCTTTAAACCTTTTGACCATTAAAGCCGACCTTGAATGAAAGTGCACTGTTTGTTTCGCTTTTAGCCTCCCCCATACAAAAAAAAACAACCGGAAGAAAAATGTAATGAAATGTTTTACCTTGCACCCTGGCTTCAGATGAGCTTGTCTAGGCAAGGATGACATCACTGGGGCCTTCTTATGGGATACACGGCGAAAGCTGAGGATTCCAGAGAGACTTCGCCTTCCCAGAATGCTGGGGTCAGGCCAGGTGGCTTACCGGAAGTAAATGTAAGCCAAGTGTAAAGTAAATATTTTTTACATATTTCTTTTGATGTTTCATGTTATTGCTTTTAGTTAGTGTTTTTTTTTATTCTGGAGGTGGGGGCTGCATTTGTATTTTCATGCAAGCTCCACTTTATGGAAATATGTAATACTTCATGGTTGTTACTCCCTTGCTAGGTCTCCTGGAATACACATGCCAACCAAAGGGTTAAAACAAGCTGGTGTGAACACAGGAAGGCATCATTGCTGTCACTGAGGGTCTTTGTGTGAATTAAAAGCCCTAGAGGGGACACTAAACTTTACGTAGGAGTCACTTGAAGCTTATGTAGGGCTTTTTACCCTCTCTTTCAGCAGGGGATGGAATGACGGGGAGCAAAGGGAAGGTATAGGTTACGTAAACCTGTTACTTTGACCTGCATGGGCAATGCACAAGTTTGCTTTAAGAAATACAAATGTAGATTGTTGCAGTTAAATACTTTCATTTAGCCATCAGCCTAAAGCACATATGGTACTTAGAAGTTAGTTAATAATTTACTTGTATGGGCTGCATTTCTTTTTTCTCCATTCAGTTAAAGAATCACTGGTAAATGTGCGGTTCATTTGTTTATATGTGTAATTTGAGTGCTTAGTTAGGAAGTTGTACTACTCAGTTCTGAAATGCTTGAAGCAGTAGAATTTTTTTTGAGTGTTGTATCTATTTCTCATCATTGTAGCCTATAGACTATACATCCTTTTTGTGGGTGCAGGTGGCATATTGGTCTTTGTTAGGCAATTTTTTTTTTAGAATAAAATGATGGCGGAAAATAGTAAAATAGGAAAAATGCAATATTTGATTTGTATGCCAAAGTGTATTGATCTAATTCCCTTGAGTATAAGAATAGTTTTTATGTGCCCATTTCAGTGCACTATAGCAGAATTAGGACACACCAGCCTGTACGCTAAAAACTAGCTCTGTTGGGGTTCATTGAGTTGCGCTGACATGAGGTGAAGTTTGAAAAACTGCAGCATGTCTGAATTTTTACACCACAACCAGGCCCGGATTTCCCACAAGGCCACCGAGGCCCGGCCTCGGGGGGGCAGAGCGCCGACGGGCGGCAGCGGTGACCCTGTGGGGAAGTTGCCGGTGTAAGGTATCCCGGCGGCCGCACACTACGGTCCGCCGCTGTCCAATCACGACGGGGCGGCCCGAAGCTCCACCCACC